TGACTGCAAGGGGAAAGCATGATGCGATGTGAGGCTGCTGAGGTTCGTAATGTCTGCGACAGTGGTAGAGGTGCCTCTATAATTAGAATAGGTTTTTGGGTACATTATACCAGAACTATCATAAGGAACCCCCAAAATAGTATTGGTACTTTTTTCGGCCCCTATATTAGCATGGTATGACAGGTAATGGGTTTAGGGCTCCGGGCTTGGGGATTTCAGCCGCTTGAGATTGCGGAGTTCGAGGAGTTCAGGGGCTTTGGGAGTCGAGGGCTGAGCTAGGGTTTAGGGTTTAGGGTTTAGGGTTTAGGGTTTAGGGTTTAGGGTTTAGGAGACTTAGTAAGTAGGTAGTAAGTAGACTTATAAGTACCCTAAATGGGACCCTAATTGGGGTTATAGTACTCTTAGTAAGTAGGTAAGAAGTAGATGTATAAGTACCCTCAAAGGGACCCTCATTGGGGTTAGAGTACTTATGAGTCTATTGAGATATCCACTATCCCAGGCGGTCTGCAGCGACTCCTGTCTTTTCCATCTGCACAGCAAGGGATCTCGGGTGATAAAGGGGACCTTGAGAGGTCATGGCATCAGTCATTAACACAACATGTTGAGCATGTGCTTTCTCTGAACAATTCCGGATGATTTCAAAGACTTCTAGTGACCTTTGGCCACTTCTGCACATCCCGGAGTTAACATGCTCAAACATGGTGATGATCACCGTTTGCTGGTGATCCTTGCCACTTCTTCATCATCTATCAGCACAAACCTCCCGTCCTGCATAACCCTTTTAAAGAGATTGAGAGGAGCACCACGTTTTGTCAACACGTCCACAATCATCTGCCGCGTTGCCATCCATCTCAAGGACACGTTGTACTTGGCGATGTCCTCCTTCACCAAGAGCATCTCTATCGCCACACGCTTGTCCTTGACAGCCAGAGTAGGACCTTCCACATGATCGTATACAGGCTTGCAATCTATCACCGCTGTGATGGGAACTTTGCAGCTCCATAACCTGTCAGACTTGAGATCATACTCAGGATATAGTGCCTCGCACCACATTGACCGCATCCATCTAGCCTCAGCGAGGCCTCTGGATAAGGACAATAGCTCCGCACCCAGAGTTGAATGCGTCTGACGAGTTTGCTTGTAGCTTCGCCATCGCAGTACCGAAAACTCTCCCCACTTGTTTCCGGCGAGAGCTTTGTCGCAAGCTGCCACCATGTAGCCTGCTTGGCTGCAGCATCCACTGGCATTTGCCCATGAGGCATCCGAAAGCATGGCAAACTGTAAGCACTGCGGATGGACATGTTTGATCCATACATGAGCACTGCTGTTGTCATGCATCTGGCTAACCAACTTGTTGACTTCAATCATGTCGGCGACAGTAGCATCGCAGACCCTCTGTTGCATGAGAGAGCACCATGCCGCCAAATCTGGGCGACTGCCAGATACAAGCCAGTTTATGCCTCCCAGTATCCCACGCATCTGAGTTTTCTCTTCCTCAGTCACTCTCTCAGACTTCTCTCTTCTTCTCAGACGACTAACATCGATACCCTTGACTTGTCTAGCAAACTCAGACTGGTGAATCACGATGCTTCCATCAGTGCGCTGCTCAAGCATCTTTCCTAAAAACTCACCGGAACCTATCTTCCAATGTTTGAAGGGAAACATGTCCTTCAACGGCTTCAGTATTTGTTGCTCAAACACTTCACTACCGCCAGCACACAGATCATCAACATGCAGAGCTATCGTCCCTTGAAGCCTTCCATGTTTGTAGTAGTAAAACAGACACGGATCAAACTTTGACACCTTCATACCTAAAGCCTCCAGCTTCGCCTTAAAGCACTGCCACCATGCCTTTGGAGCATCAGCTAATCCGTATACTGTTTTCACGGCCTCAACCAAGCTGCCTGGTGGAACATCAGGAACTCCTCCAGGTGGCAAATCTATGAAAAGCCTGCCTCGCTTGGGATCTAGAGCATCTCCACGTAGAAATGCGCCCTCAACGTCTGCAATGTTGAGCCGCCACTTGTGAGAAGCCATGAGTTGCATCGCGATTGCAAACCCTTCTGTTGTCAACGTAGGAGCGCTTGTATCGAGGTTCATCAGATCTGGATCAAGATACCCTCTGATGCACCATCGAGCCTTCAGATCTTGAGTGAGTGGACTACTGTTGGTCTCAGCTTCCGTCACAACGAATCGTGACTTGAGTATTCTTCGCCTATCCACACTTGCTCTCAGACGCTCAGCTTCATGTCCAACGTGCACCTTAATGGCACCACTCTCGACAAGCTTCCTCCACTCCTTGGCCTTGGCCCGATCAAGCCCCGGTTTCCTCGACACTGGCAACTCACCTTCGGCAACTTCCTTGCGACCCCGCTTTGCGCTCACTTCGTAGCAATCGTCACGTTTTGACTTCCATGACCAGCCTGGCTTCAACTGAAACTCCGTGCGGCCACTCCACCATGCACCTGCACCAAACAACCGCGTCTCATTATCCTCCTGCCATGCATAGCCACGCACAACTTTGTTGCCTTGCCTGTCAAAACCAACAACCTGGCACGCTTCCCCAAGGCAACCCAACTCAACCGGTGTGTCATGCTTTGTTGGTCGAAACAATGTATCACGCTCACTGACATGCACACGCACAAGTCGACACCGCTGGTGATCGAGCAACCAATGATCGCCTTCCGTAGCCAACACTTCCAAATCATCATCCTGCTCATCAGCGTCTGGCACAGGTATCTGTGCTGCATCTGGCTCGCGGCTAGACGTTGCATTTGCGAACGCAACTCTGCCTGAATCAAGTAGCTCCGGACTTTGACGCATCATATGAGTCAACGCGGAGGGTTCACCTAGCATTCTTGCTCGCTTTGTAGGAGACTCCTCACCTGTCCTTACAGGCTCGTCTTCAGCCGCTCGTACAAGTGATTCACTTCTTCCCTCTTCTGGCCCAGCCTCAGCTAAGCCTTGGGATCCTATCTCGGGCCCGGCCTGTGCAACAGACACACCTGCTACCGCACCCATCTCCTCGTCTGGTCTCACCACACCTGCACTCGCCTCACCACTGCCTGACTGTGCTTCTGGTTGATCTCGACGCTCAATGTCCGACGGCATCTCAAGCACACTCAAGTCATGATAATTCCCTGCACCACGAGCGCTCACGTTGTCACGAATGTGCACCATGTCTGCTGGCAGCAACTTAACTGTGGCTTCTTGATCTGGCGACAAGGCACGCAACTGCTCTGGACAACACCTATAGACCTTGGTACCTTTGGCAACCCAAACCTTCGAACCTCCACTTTTGCCATTCACAATTCCAGGACCATGCCAATGACAACGATTTTCAAACCGGTTCTTTCTCCAGAAATACACTAGTTGTCCCTCAACAAACGGTCCTCGTTCAGGTCTGGTCCTGTGCTCCATGGCCTTGCGAATTCTCGCCTCGCCATCTGCCTCCAAGAAAGCCTTTCTTGCTGACGTCCTGAGTGCCATCCTTCTCTCGAACACAGACTCACCTTGCGCTAAAGATGAGTTGATCACGGGATCAGGATCACTGCATATCATGCCTGGCACTCGCACATCACGACCAAACACATGCTGATTTGGGCTGTAGCCGTCCTTCCGCGTCATACTGTTAACGGCTTTTTTGATCTGGTCGCACAACTCCTGCACTTCCTGCTTACTTCTAGGCCTCACATCGAGCTGCGCCTTTGCATATGCTGTCTTCCACACCGCTCCACGACGCTCAGCCAACCCATTTTGCCATGGCGAGTATGCTGCTGAAGTGTCACCATATGTTCCATCTAACGACAACCCATGCTCGAACTCGCCCTCGAACTCCTTTCCCCCGTCACTGAACAACCGCACTGGTGCCCCGGCCCAACGCTTCCAGTTCTTGCGATACGCATTACGAACCCATTTTGCTTGCATTCCCTTCCACAATGGTACACACATTTGGTATCCCGTGGCCTCATCCACGATGTTCAAGAAGTGGATCTTCTGGTCTCGAACCTCTTGCTCGAACGTGTCCACACATACCTGCTGATTGAACTCCGTGGCACGCCTAAGCTTCGTGACATGGTGGGCCTTTGGTCTTGTCAACTCGGAACAGGTCTCACACTCCAAGCTTTTAGCGAGTCTCATGACCTTTTCACTTGCATGGGCAGCCTTGAGAAGCATATTCATCCTAGCAGGAGAAGGGTGGCCAAGGTTTTCATGACACCTTCGCAAAATGCTCATGATTCTCCTATCATCCTGATTGTCTTGGTTTCTTAACTCCTCTATGCTGAAAACACAGTGGGCAACATGAACCTCAGCGACTTCCTGCCTACTCCTCAAAAGTCCTGCCGTCACATCTTTCATGAAACACCTCGGGTCCTGCAGTTCTCTTTGGTTCAGCCATGTTTTGCGATGTTCATCATGAACCTGTCGACAGTTCGTGTACATGTGCCATGCACTCTCACCATCATGCCGTGTCACACACATAACCGACTCATCGCTCTTCTGCTTTCTCCACATTCTCACTCTCTCACTCAAACTCTCATTCACGTCTTCAATGCAGAACAATCGCCCTTCACACACTTGCTCAGCACACAACGCGCACACAAGCTGTGTATACATTGCTCGATACCTGGCATTGTAGGTCCTAACCATGTTCTTGCAACCTCTGGTTCTAGTCATGTGATCAGGAGTCCTAATGACAAGCAACCTCGGACACAGCTCTCTCACTTTTTGCAATGTCCGATCGATCGTCACTGACTCACGAATGTGACGAGGTTCGAGCACAGAGAAAAGACTCGAAGCGCTCAGTCCTACTGCCGTGGGCACCTTCTCATCAGAGCCTGCTTCCAGAACCAACACGTCAACCCTACCCTCGGTGACATAAGTATCATCCCGATTCAGGCTCTGAGGACAGGCTTCCACCCCACGCCTACACAGTTTTCGCTCCGACCTTGTCATACATGTGGCAGGACAGTCTGCGTCGTCCGGCCTTGCATGGAGACTCAGATCTCGTCCTCGTCCTCCAGCGTCTCCAGCTGGTGCGTGAGGTTCTGAATCTGCTGCTGCAACAATCGGCGCCTCCTCTCGCTGCTGGTCTCCGCTCGGCTTGGGGTTGTCTCCGTCATTAACAACCACTGATCGTCGTAGTCCAGCTCGCGAGCATGTGGCCCCAGTGCGTGCGACGGTGCTGCTGTCTGGTTGCTGGAGGATGCCCTTGTTGCCGACCTTGCCTTTGGCTTTGGGCGGGACGCCATCACACGCGGCGCGGTCGACATCACTGGCACCACAGGTGCCTGTGACTCGCTCCCACCACTCTCGGCGTAGACACCCTGCTCCATCTGAATCCTTGCTGACTTCTTCTGGTCTCTGATTGCGATGTACAACCTGAACTGAGCCATTGTAGGGTGATACGTCTTGCCATTTGCAGGATCGGATTTGCCCTTGATGAACTTCCTCACCCATGCGATGTACCTCTTGTCCATCTCGTAGGCATTCTTGAACGTCATCAGCTGTCCTTGCTTCTGGTACTTGCCGATGTTGAAAATTCGGCTGCCCAGATTCCCAGCGATGCCTGGCAAGTCGTCGCCTGGCTCGTCGTCGTTGTGATCTGGTGCCTCGTCGAGGATCTTCGCGTTGATGTCCGTCATTTCCTCGGGATTCATTGCACCGGTCACCTCCTGCATCAAGTCGGCGATCAGCTGCGTCCTCACGAAGCTCTCCATTGGTGCATCGGCTGACATCTGCCCCGCGTAGCTCATGGCTCTTTGCTCTTGCCACGCTAGGTTGCACCTGCTGAGAAAACTTTGCGGCATTCCGGTCGTTCAACTCAGCACCCACATACATGACATCCTGCTTCTTGACCATGGTCTTCACGTCGTTGAACAACGGAAGAGCGTAGTGTCCCCTCTCAGTCTCCCGTAACTTCACAACGACCCCAAACTTACCTATCTCCAACTCATCTTTCCCCATGTCTAATTTAACTTGCAAACTACGCAACAACTCTTTAGAGAGAAGAAGTGGCGTATTGGAACCCGTGCCCGGCAGAACAGCCGCTCTTATCGCTAGCTGTTTGCCACCCAGACACACTGGAATCAGAGCAGAGACCTGTGACCTAAGGACACCCGCATTGCCAAAACGGAACTCATGACTCTCGGGTATCACTCTCACACGCTGCCCTGACTTCTCAAGTGTCTTGGCCATTCTCCTAAGCACAGACTGCCCTATGAGTGTTCTTCTACAGGCTGTGTCAGGAACCCCATGCTCGGCAAGATCAGCGAACTCAGCCATGTATGCCTCACTGACATCGGCTCTGTCGCTCGGCTCCGAGCTTGTGAAAAACTGTTGTAGACTACGCTCAAAGTCCCCGCTTACATCACCTTCGCTGTTCATCGCCTCCTCCTTGGTGGCGACCACAACATCGATGTCACCCTCGCGCTCCGCCAGGAATATCTCGAACTTCTCGAGTTCATCCATGTCCAAGAAGTGCTCTTCGCCAACACCCTTGTAGCCCATGCTGGAATCATCGGCCACCATAGCCTCGTTGCTGCTGCTGCTGCCACGTGCTGCTCTGCCATGTCCACTGCCCATCTGCGCCTTTTTGGGACACTCTCTCTTCCAATGTCCCACTTCCTTGCACAAGTGGCACTTTGTACGGCTCTTCAGCAACTCCAGCTTGCCCTTCACCGTGCCCGTAAGCTTCCAGTCACTTCCACGCGGCTCTTTGTAACCTCGTCCAAGCTTCTTCTGTTGCACACGCCGCCGAATGTCTTTGTAGGTCTCGAAGACGTCCACCGCGTCCTCCTCTTCATACTCTTCCGACGACTGCACTTGATCTGCTATGGCTTGAAACACGTCCTCTGCCGCTTCATTCTCTGGCACCTCATTGTCTTCCGTCTCCGTGGAAAAGACCTCCTTGGTCTTGCCACCGCTGTTTCTCGCAGTGCCATGTGGAAATATTGACTGTATGGCCTTCGTCACATCCTGGTACTTCAGCGAGCCTCCAGAGGATGTCAGCACCAAAGCCTGTGCTGCCGGCTCCATCTGTAGCTTCTGAAGTATGAACCACCCTCGGACCTCTTCAGGCAACTCCAAAGCATGCTCTTGTAGACGGCGATATGCAGTCTCCTGTCGCACCATCATGTTCCTGTATGACTCACCAGGACGAATGCGTAGGTCGTAGAAGTACTCCTGCAAATGGTTATGCAGCGCTTCCTTCTGCAACTCCTTGTACTTGCCATCCAACGCTTCGAAGATAAGCTTGTGACCGTCCTCCTTGATGACCTTCTCCAGGGGCAGAGCTTCACATACTTCTTCCGCCTCTCCAGAGATATATTCAAGGAGCTTGGCTCCCCAACGGTCCTTGGTGTACGTGTTCGGCAAGGCCAAGAGCATCAGCTCGGCTTTTCGGCGCCAACGCCTATACGAACTAGGCTGGCTTCCGTCGAACCTTTCCAGCTTCGGCTTGTCTTCATCTTTCCCCGGACCACTCATCTTGCAGGCTAACGGCTAAGCGGACGTCGTGCGCAATCTTGGCCTCCAAGTAGTACTCGTGGCCACCAAAAGCTCCGCTACCACCTGAGATATCCACTATCCCAGGCGGTCTGCAGCGACTCCTGTCTTTTCCATCTGCACAGCAAGGGATCTCGGGTGATAAAGGGGACCTTGAGAGGTCATGGCATCAGTCATTAACACAACATGTTGAGCATGTGCTTTCTCTGAACAATTCCGGATGATTTCAAAGACTTCTAGTGACCTTTGGCCACTTCTGCATCTATAAAATAACCGTTTACTAAGTCCCCCGACCCTCCAAGAGGGCTTAGAGGTTTGAGGTTGAGGGCTTAAGGTCCGGGCTCGAATCCGAAGCAACTCTCTGACATCGTGCAGGCCATGTCCACTGGGGTTTAGGGTTTAGGATTTTACATCCTCGACCCGAGGCTTATGTTGGTAGTTCTCTGAATTAGGGTCCCCTTTAGGGTCCTTTCTAGAAGGGTGCCGTACTATATTGGGGGGACCTGAGCAGGGACCCCAATTTAGCGAACTACCCATGTAGTAGTTAAGCAAATAAGTAACTTGCACCACCGTCCTCGTACAGAACTAGCGGAAGTGTAGGGTGACAGGCCAAAGTGTGCAGGCTCAGTCAAAAACTGTGTCTCAGGACCAAACATTTCTGAATTCAAGAGGCTGTGTAAACATGCCTTTGCCTGAAGCCCAGCTTAAAATCTCGGGTATCAAAGCAGTTCTAGTCCAGGTTTAGGGTTCAGGGACCCTAAACCCTAAACGTTGTTTGAGCTTCTATTGTTGCCTTGAAACCTCGCAGGCAAGCATTTAGGATGGAGGCGCGCTGGGTCTATTGTTGAGGATGTCGGGGTCCCTGGGTTTAGGCTAAAATGCTTGGAGTTCTTTGATTTCAGGTCGCAAAGCTCTAGGATTCAGGGCTCAGAGAGGAGTATAGGGCTTATAACGTTGAGAGTCTGGGGTGGTAGGGTCTAGGGTTTAATTCGGGTTTTGGGTTTTGGGTGTAGGGTTTAGGGTGTATAGGGTTTAGGGTGTATAGGGTTTAGGGTTTAGGGTCTCAGAAGCTATCAGTGTAGGGGCCTGAATGATTCGAAGGCTTTGGGAGTATATCATTCTGCACGTGTCATAACGAGCCATGGGGACAAATATTTCTAACCATTCCGGCGTCTGGATTAGTACAGGTGTCTTGCGCATGAAGGATTCGGAAATAGGATTTACCGGCAAAGGCCCACCGCGAAAGGGCTAGTCACGAGTTCACGACAAACTCGTCAGCTGCTTCCTTCAAAACTGCAGTCGCCGGGTGGCGACAGCTCATCATTCGTCACCCCACGTGACCACAGCTCCGTCGCCCAAGATTGCGGCAACTTGACGACCAGAGGCCTGGATGTGTTGGACATTCTTCAGCAGCTCCTTTACGGCGCTGCTGTCGCCACCAGGGTTGGCATGACCCCAGGTGACCACAGATCCATCACCCAGGATTGCAGCAAATGCAAATGCAGAAGCTTGGATCTGCCTCACATCTCGCAGCTGATCCTGTACCGCACTGCTGTCGCCACCAAAGTCGGCCCGACCCCAGGTGACTACTGATCCATCACCCAGGATTGCAGCAAATGCACCATCAGAAGCTTGGATCTGCCTCACATCTCGCAGATGATCCTGTGCCGCACTGCTGTCGCCACCACAGTCGGCATCGCCCCAGGTGACGACAAATCCATCGCCCCGGATTGCAGCAAATGCATCATCAGAAGCTTGGATCTGTTGCACATCTCGCAACTGATCCTGTACCTCACTGCTGTCACCACCACCTTCGTCATGACCCCAGGTGACGACAGATCCATCGCCCAGGATTGCAGCAAATGCAAATGCAGAAGCTTGGATCTGCCTCACATCGCGCAGCTGATCCTGTACCGCTCTGCTGTCGCCCCCATAGTCGGCCTCACCCCAGGTGACCACAGATCCATCACCCAGGATTGCAGCAAATGCATATGAAGAAGCTTGGATCTGCCTCACATCTCGCAGCTGATCCTGTGCCGCACTGCTGTCGCCGCCACAGTTGGCTCTGCCCCAACCGACCACAGATCCATCACCCAGGATTGCAGCAAATGCACCCCAAGAAGCTTGGATCTGCCTCACATCTCGCAGCTGATCCTGTGCCGCACTGCTGTCGCCACCACGGTCGGCATCGCCCCAAGTGACGACAGATCCATCACCCAGGATTGCAGCAAATGCACATGCAGAAGCTTGGATCTGCTGCACATTCGTCAGCTGCTCCTGGACGGCACTGCTGTCGCCACCACGGTCGGCGCAACCCCAGGTGACGACAGATCCATCGCCCCGGATTGCAGCAAATGCACTATCAGAAGCTTGGATCTGTTGCACATCTCTCAACTGATCTTGTACCACACTGCTGTTGCCACGATAGTTGGCATTACCCCAGGTGTCTACAGATCCATCACCTAAGATTGCAGCCAATGCCGAGCTATCCCAGAGCACACCACATCGTTGCGTCGCTGCAAGTGCGACCTGCTGCACATGCAGGGTCAGCACTTCACCGTTCTGCAGCCTTGCTCTTTCGATACTTGACGCTGCATCAAGTACCTCCCCACAAGAGTTCAACAGCCTGCCTTTGCCAACGTTTAAAGCACTCTGGGCACACGTGTTGAGAGACTCAACAGACGCGTCCACTTGCACTTCCAGAGAGGCCTTCGCTCCACTCAGCAGATGCACATCCACCGAAATCGACATTGCGCTTCTGAGGGTGGTCGTAGCAAGCGAAGCAGAAGCCTACGTCTGCTTTCATCCTGCAGCTACCCAAAATGCATCCTGAGAATTACTTTGAAAGCCGTTTTGGTGCACTTGAGCAGCATACCCCTAGGGGTCATCACTTTGAGGCATACAGATAGATGCCTCCACTACTTGGGTTGTCGTCGGTGGCTCATGGAGGTGCTCACGTCCAGAACTAAACCAACTCTTCTCAGAATACTAGTAAACGCCAGTAGGCCCTCCCAACATAAAGACACGCGCGCAAGCGCACGCGCACACAGACACACAGACAGAGACTCAGACAGACAGACAGAGGCACACAGACAGAGACACACAGACAGAGACACACTGTCAGAGACACACAGACAGAGGCACACAGACAGACAGACACAGACAGACACAGACAGACACAGACAGACACAGACACACGGACACACAGACACACACAGACCCACACAGACACACACACACACACAGACACACACACACACACAGACAAACACACACACAGACACACACACACACACACACACACACACACACACACACACACACACACACACACA